TCACAGATAAAGTAAACTTGGTTCCCAAATCAGTATTTGCACCTAAAGATTCTTCACCACTAAGCAAATATTAATTTGCAAATCAACTAGGGCCCTTAAAAGGACCCCCTTTTTAATAACGGGGTTTATTCCGCAACAAAGCCATGTTGTTTTGTCTTCACCTAGAAATGTTTTCTTACAGAGGTCTCTCTCTCATACCAACCAAGTCATAAGTCCCTCGAGTGAGGGGACCAATCACATTAAGAAACCCTACTCTAGCTAACAAATAACGTCTCTCTAAAGATTTTGTGCAAGGGTCATGGGGTCACTCGAGCATCACATGACCCATGGCAACAGCCCAAATGAGATCCTTAGACCTTGCTCTCGAATCCCTAGCATGAGAGTGCCATTTGAAGATAACATCAGAGAGAAGGAATAAGGTACTTTAGAAGGCATCAGAAAGAAGTTTTGGATAAATATATTTCGATTTCTGCTAATTCTCTTCTGGTTGCACCCTGTTCAAGCTTGACTAGATTAATCCTTCAAACATGCACATAGTGTTTGTTGTTAAACTCAATCCTTTGGTATTCAAATTGAAATAAGGAGTTCCAGGTTAATTAATGTAGGTATATGTGCCCATAAGATCACATAAGAAGCATGTATACAGACATGGACACGAGCACTGAGATTTAAAAAAAAAGGGAGACACGGACATTGAAAGGCCACAGTAGATTTTTATATATTTTTATTTTCTATGTAGATTAATATTACATCCACAAACAATTAAAATTAACAAAAACTAATACTAATAAAATATGAAAATAATAAAAATAAAAAACCACTAGTTAATTCATATCGTTTGTCTTTTTATAGATGACCTATTAATCATATAAATTTAAACAAAAAATAATAAACATTCAACATCTATCAAAAGCACTAAAAAGGAGAGGGGGCGGGGACTAGTTGTTGTGTCCCCAACTTATTCCCTGAAAACAATTTTTTTTGGATAAAATAATGGGACAATTATCAAAAAAAAACCATGGTAGAGCCTTCTAACAAAATAAATCTTGAGTTTTCAATTTGTCAATTTATATCTTAATCTTTGATTTGTTTTCAATCTAAATCATTCATTCATCTATTTTTGTTAAGTAAAACTGATAGAAAAAAAGTATTTTAGTTATTAAACTCAATGTAGATATACATGAAATGTCTAAAATATCTTTTTTCATTGAGTTTAATGACTAAAATACTTATTTTCCGTTGATTTTAATTAACGAAAATAAGCAAATGATTTAGATTGAAAACAATTTTAAAATTTTGGGTTAAATTGAAAAAATTAAAAACTCAAGGTTTAATTTCTTATAAGGATCAAACCTCGGAGTTTTTTGTTTTTGTAATTTTCCATAAAAAAAAGGGACACGCCAGCTCTTATACGTGTCCCTATCATGTCCTTGTATCTGACACCACTATGTCACTTGTTTTGGAGTGTCAATGCTTCATAGAACATCACTAAAAGGATGGTTTCCACAACCATACCCGCTCCACTTGACTCACGATTTGCACCCTGACTTTACACAATGCCTAGGCCGGAAGTAAGGTATAATGACCCCTTGGAGTCAATTCCTTGGTCAAGCGACCCATGACCCTGCACAAAACCACCAGAGACTGGTGGATTAGAAGATAGAGTTAAAAGCATCATTAGAGCTGCTTGGCTCACCCTTTAAGGTGGCCTAACTCTAACCAGTCTTAGACAAGTGAGGAAGGCCTCACATGGAGACAATATGAGTTAATGGGCCCACACCTTTATTGGACTTGGTGAGCACACCTTTCCGTGCCTTTAAAACCCTTTCCCCTCAATATAATGGAGCTCGCTTGCTCCATGAGATGGACCATTCCATTCCTCCATAGAGCCATATCCCCCATATCCCTGGCTCATTGAGAAGTTTCACTTTGATTGTTACTTCCACACTCTCTTCAAAGGTTGCATCAACTCTCTCCTTATCCGTTCTAGATAGTTTTGTGCCATTTAGTGCCTACCATGCTTCCCAGCCCCACAGCCTATTGAACACCCGAACCTTTCATACACACATGCAGTTATGAGCAACTCATGTAGCTTAGCCAAGAATAGTGAGTGTTATAGAGTCACACAACTTGTCAAGTGCATCTAGTCGAGCGTACTAGAAGGTGTTTCAAAGACGATCCCTGATTGCCTAAGCTTGAGGCTAAGGCATTACATCATTGGTCTCATCCAACATGATGGGGCCCTAGAGGGGATTATCAAGACATGTAAAGATGTTCGATTGGTCCATGCATCACCCCATGAGGCTGACACATAGGGCCCAAGTTTATGAGATACTATGAAGCACTAACACTTCAAAACAAGTGTCGTAACTGTGTCGGGCACGATAGGGACACGCCATATGGAGTGTTCCCTTAATTTATTTTCAGGAGACACACTAGGCACATGCCAACTTGTCTTTTCTCCCATTTTCTTTAGTGCTTTTGAATATAGAATGCTTATTATTTTTTTCTTAGATTTAAATATGTAATAGATCATCCATTAAAATAAATATATATATATAAACAATAAATGTTGATTAAATTTTTTTTTAAATATAGAATTAGTGTTAGTTTTTGTAAAATTTTATTGTTTGTAGAAATAATATTAATCAACATAACAAATAAAAATAAATGAAAAAATATTTTATTATCGTGTCCCCGCCGTGTCCATGTCTCCATTTTTTGAAATTACCGTATCCCATGTCCGTGCTTCTTAGATGAGATAGATGAAATCGCGATGGGAGATTGGACAAATATACCCACAATAAACTTAATCACCTTATTAAATATCCTTAAAACTTAAATAAACTAAATAAAAATAAATCAGCCTTTTAGTTTCTTCCTCACTAGGAACCCAAAATAATCTCCAACATCATCTCAACTATTAATTGAGCAATATCAAGTTGCCAAATCAAAATCTTGAAAGGATTAGAAAGGTGCATGGCAACCGCAACACAAATAAACTCCTAGAAAAGAACAATTGAGTTCTACCAAAGTTCAAAACCTTGATCCTTAGAAAATTCACACAACACAACTATGACTTGGAACTTTCTCAAACAAGATAAAATTAAGTCTAGTGAATAATGAATCTCTAAACCAAATATGAAAGAGATGATGATGCACAGCGCCATAACCAAGTAGCACAGACACAGACTTGAGACACTACACTAACAAGCCAATATGACGATTTAAAAAACATGCAAGACACATGATAAGCTTGGGACACGTTAAAAATTCAAATTTTTACATATTTATTATATGTCAAATATATAAATAGTTCATTAAAAGGTCATGGAAAAAAAAAAAAGAAGAGAGAGAGAGAGAGAGAGAGAGAGAGAGAGAGAAAGAGAAAGAAACATAACACTATATATTTCATAACTTAAACATCTAGAAATCGTTCTCGTAACTATTACATTCTAAAAAATGTAAAACAATTATAAAACATCAAAATACACATTATTTATTAGAGTGCACAAGTTGAACTCCAAATATGCAATTTTATTATTTTTTTGGGTAAGGTAAATTTTATAAAACAAAACCAATCTATACAAAGAGCAAACTTATGTTCAAACAAAAAGACACAGCAACTACTGAATTAGTAGGTACCAAAGTAGATCAATCCACCAAACTCTCCTAATGATACAAGCTGGTAAACAAATCTTTCGATAAGTCCCTTGTTCACCATATTGTCATCAACTCCCCCCCAAGTAACTGCCCTGCTTCTAATATTAGTCTAAATCTCGCCATTTACTTTAGGTATGTGCTTTGCTTTCTGCTTAATAATTCTTGCATTTCTTTCACACCAAATCTAGTAGACTGCTGCAGATCAAAGTTTTCAAAAGCATTTTTGAGGCACACATTAGGGCAAGGCATTCCAAAAATGTATTGAGGTTTGATGTTTTGTGTGCAACACCAACAAAGTGTAAGCCTCACGGGATGATGTGTTCTCCTTACATGCATATCATGCACTTTTCACACATAATCATCAAAGGCGTTCACAATTTGAGATGTCGTAAAAAAGTTAAAAATGAAAAAAACAAAATTTAATTTGAATAACTCATACCTAACTCGGAGAAGTACATAAATCATTAACCAAATCAAATCAATTCAAAAGAGGCATAGACAATCGAGCTTCTCTTCTCCAATCTTCTTCACTTTGCCTTCGACTAAAATCCAAACAACTGAGTTTCTGCTCTCCAAACGACATGGCCTCCATCATTGACTTCCGTGAGAGACAATCAACATTCGGGTTCGAGCTCTTTGTATCTCTCATTCTATCTCTGATTTTCACTCATTCTATCTTAGATTTTCACTCATTCTATCTCAGATTTTCTCTTGTTCTGTCTCCCTCTATCTTCTCTTTCTATCGTTTGGTCTCTCTATGTCGTTAGGCTCCTTGGATCTCTCTAACTTCCTCTTTGTTGGCCAGAAGCATTTATCATAGGGGAAGATAATGTGTGGCCTTTATGAATAATGTTATATGTACCAATTAATGTACTAACTAATGTACCAATTGATGATCTGGCATAATTTAAGAGGTTTTTGGGATTTGTAATGTGATTAATGAGTGGGGTCAATAATAATATCACAACTAGTATTGGTACACTAGTTAGTACACTAATTGATGCATGTAGCACCACGGGCCTTTATTATAATATAATGGCATGTATTTATTTTTATTTGAAGCTCTCTCTATAGGTGGGTCTCTCCAACTCCCACTTTGTTGACCAGAAACCTTCATCTCATCTATTAAAACAGAATGCCCTTTAGTATTATATTTATTTGAAGTTAATTACATCTTTATTAATATGTATGGGTCTGCGTGTTTTAATGTTCAATGATAGTATTAATGAGAAAAAAGGACTTAAGAGGCTTTTACGAATTTTTTATTTTTTTTAATATTTCTTATGTTATATTTTATAAAAAATTAAAAATTAAAACTCGAAAGGCTTACGCCTCACCTTGTGCATTCGCCTTAACAACTTTGCTGCAGATAGAGTGAGCTTATACAGCCTCTGGTCAAATCTCGTATCCTGCATGTGTTGTCTAGCCCATCAAAGCTCTTGGTTCAAAGTAGATGGAGGTATACTAATCCTCAACAACATAAGAAAGTGTCTCCAAAATATTCTTTGTGAAATTGTAGCCCAAAAATAAATGGCAATGGTCCTCATCAGCTTGTCCACATAGTGTACAGGTAGCACTCTGAGCCAAACCCCATTTAAAAATTCTATCCATAGTGACTAATTTCCCAAGGGCTCAGGACTCCTAACCACAGAGTAAAAGACCATTTAGGAACACTGTGATTATACCAGGTAATGTTTACCCAAGGCACAATATGCTATTATAAATAGATTCATCACATAGGTTTGGAAGGTTCAAGAAATTTCGTTGAGTATCTAAGAAGTGATTTGCAAAGTGTCCAATATTATGGATTTAACTTTTTAATTAAGACACATTGAAAAATTATTGGGCACACTTGTAGAAGTGACCAACACGACATACCTCCTCCATATAAGTGTTTGTGCATCTTAGCACTATAATTATAATTATCAGAGAGAGAGAGAGAGAGATTGTAATAATGTGAAAGTACGTTTATAATTCATATTTCTGCAGAAAACTAGAAATCAACTCAAATCTAATTGCAAACCCAAAATACTAAAAGGTCAAAAGGTATAAAGATATATAAATGTCAAATCTAATTGCAAACCCAAAATACTAAAAGGTCAAAAGGTATAAAGATATATAAATGGAAACACACATATTTTAAAGTCAATTATATAACATCTATGAAACAACATAAAAATTACATTGAGGAATAAATTATTAAGCATACATACCATCTATGGAGAAGAAGGAAATAACAAATCCAAAGGCAAGGCAATCAAGATGTAAATTAGTTCAGAAACCTATACCAAAAAAAAACCATCACAAGTAAGAATTTGATTGTTAATCGAACACTATTAAGTGACCTACAATGTATTGTGCATGTGTGTACATAATGTGCACCGATGTGCATCAACAAGGATACAAAAGAAACTATAAATGTCGTGGTATACAAAAAATAATAATAAAGTATTGAGAATTAAATTATTTACCACACCTCGCAAATCTAATTATGTACAAACAGACTTGAGAAGAAGGAGAAAAATAAGAGTTCATGCATATAAGAAAAACAATAGTTTTACATGGAGCCCCATAGTTAAACCACAAACTGAACTCAACCCCCTATCCAACTAGAGGGAATTTATTTTCTTAATCCATCATGCCATGTCTATTTATGCAAAGCTATGTTCTCAATTAAATTCAAGGCACTCATTTCCTTCCTCACAATCCCAACCAATGTTCTTGTTAGCTTTACTATTCTCCTTTTAGCACCTTGAACTTAGGCCATATAAACGCATTGATTGTTGTAGCATTTCCCTCAATGAAAAACTTCAATGAATAATCAACAATGTTTTACTTGATTCAAGTACACATCCGAATGAAAAAAGCTCAAGTTCTTGTAGCAAATTCCACTTTTTGTGCCCAACCATATAAACAAGAGCCATGAATGAACATATACCCTATTAAAATTCTTAGAAGAAATTACCCCCCCCCCCCCCCACAAAAAAAAAAAAAAAAAAAAACACTAAATCAAACTCTACATTTTTAATTTCATCAAATTAAACTCTAGTCTTCCAATTCAGTCTCAATTTCAATCATTCGTCTATTTCCATTAAAGTTGAATTCACAGAGATGAGTATTTTAGTCATTACATGCATCATTTTACAAAAAAAAATTATTACAATTTTATATTTAAGCCAAATTAAACTCTAAAATTTCAAAACTTGAATTTCTCTCCACACCTACCCATCTCCCCCACTCACTGTCAATCACTACCACCCTTCAACAGTGCCGCTCTCCTCCACCCTTCAGCAAGTTCTTATTTTTTGATAGTTCTCCCAAAAATTACTACAATTTTATGCTTAAACCAAATCCAACACCACTAGCCTCCCTACCCCCTCGCTTAGATCCACCATTGTCACCCCTCTCCCACTCTATTAGATTGACCACCCTACAACCCCCCCTCCAAATCTACCTGGGAAAACCCATCCCTTCCTCTGAGTGCTGCCACCTGAGAGAGTGAGAGAGAGAGAGAGAGAGAGAGAGAGAGAGAGGGGAGGGAGGGAGGAAGGGAAGGATCCAAATTCACCGGGAAGAGACTCAGTGGGTATGGAAAACGGGAGGCCGCAAACGATGTCCTCGATGGCAGTAGCAAGGTAGTTTGAAGGTGAACACTCTATGCGCGTTCTATGACTGTATGTTGAAAGCAACAACCCTATTAATTTCCTATTCGTTATGAGAAATTGATTTATTATGTTCATTAATGGGTTTATCTTATGTTGAATGATGATGCTTCCAGGGGTTCCATACTTGGTAAAGCATGGGCTTTGATTTCGAAATTCTAAAGCCATATGTTTGAGATTCAAAGTTGATTTGGTTTTATTTACAAGTTGGAATCTAGCGAAGAGGGAGGTGCTAGTGGAAGGTGGAAGGTGAAAGGTAGAGGGGGACATTTTAAAATAAAAATTCCTGACAGCATCCTTTCCCTAACAGAAGATCAACAAATGACTAACGTTATGAACTAATTGCAATGCAATTTATATATTAAGGGAGGTTGATGTGATTATATCAAAATTATGGGGTTAGCAGCAATTTCCCCAAACCTCAAGGGAGGTTGGTGTAATTTACCCAAAAAATAAAAAGGGGGATGGAAGTTGGAGGATTAGGGAGGAGAGTTTTAAATTAACTTGGGATCAATGAATTTTTTAAATATTAATCAAACTAAAATTCATATTTCATATATATGTCTACAGTTAGGATTAATCACACTTTTCATCCCTATATTTTAATCCAAATTTCACTTTAGTTTCTCTAGTTTCAAATTGAACAATTTTTTCCTTCCACTTAAATCTAGTTTCAATTTGATCATTCCATCCAAATTTCCGTTAATTTTTTATACCTGTCACCTCAGAAATTAACAAGTCTCCCAAAATTGTTAATTTTGACCTCAAATTGGGACTAAATTGAAACTGTGAAAGTTGTTCAATTTGAAACTACAAAGACTAAAGTGAAATTTGGATAAATGAAAAGTATCATTAACACTTGCATTTATTATAGAAACTTTCTTTGTATAGACTCATAATAAATAAACAAATAAACTTAACTTGTTTATTGATTTAAAAGAGATCAATTCAACTAGTAAAAAATTAGGTAAACTCTACTTTTTTATACATTATATTAGCTTACTATGTGTACATACATACACACATACAAAACACTACAAGCTTGATTGTTCAGGTTCATACGCAGAAGACAACAAAATTAGCATTATACAAACATGGGTATTAGACACATTAGAATTCCACAAATTATCATATATATATTTGAAGTTCACACGAACCGTATATATCGGAGGTTCCTCCACTATAAAATCAATACTATAACAATACAAAGCACAAGAGATTTAGCTAAGAAGAAGAAGTAAGATAGAACTCACAGTGATTGATTGTCTTCTCCCTCAGGAAATTAGAGTTCTAGCGGTTTAGCCTTGCGAAGCGAGCGAGCGAGCGTGCGTATGTATGTACGTACAGAGAGAGATACAGAAGAAAAGAAAATTGGTCCTGATCAGACCCCCGAATCGAGTATAAATATTGGAATTGTGGGCCTTCGGTAAATTATATCCGGCCCGTTTATCCAATCATCAAACTTGGTGGGCAAGGCAAATGGCAGCAAACCACGGCATTTGCCTTGGTGTAGCATTTTTGTGCTGTGGGATTTTAGATTCAATTTTTTATAGAGAGAATTTTCATAGAGTAAATTGTTAAAATGTTTAATTTAAGGAGGGTATAAATTAGTAGATTTAGTAAATATTTTTTCTTAATAAGAGCTCTATCTTTTGTAAAATAATTTAGTGAGAAATCTTTTTTAATATTTTGTTTCTAATTTTACCTCTTAATTTATCTATTAACTTTTTATATTTGTTGACTTTTTTTGACTATATGTTCAAATTTATATTTATATGTTCAAATTATTTTATATCTGTTTAAATTCTTTTCTATCTGTTCAAATTTTTTTGTCTATCTATTCAAATTTTTTAACTATATGTTCAAATATTTTTTTTATTTGTTGAATTTTTTTAACCTATCTGTTGGATTTTTTTTATCTCTTGAATTTTTATAACCAATTTTTTTATCTGTTCAAATTCACACAATTTTCAAATTTTCTCTCTCTATATAATACTCTCTCCACCTCTCTTTCTCTATCTATAGGTTTTTCTTTCTCTCTCTTATTCTTTTTCCTTATTAGTTGAAATTTTCCACCACCAACACTATCTAGTACATACACAGATATATTTATTCAGTTTTTTTTTTTATCTATTCATTCACCACTATAACAACAACAACAACAATCAAAAGGGAGGAGAACGAGTGTGTGTGTTGACTAAGACGCGAACAGAGCCCTAACACATGCCCACATTGCTAGGTTATTCAAATTGCTAGGTTATTCTCTTGCAAATCTGGTGTTTACTCACTTTCTCTCTTTGATTCCAGTCACAAAGATCCTGGAAAATCAATTATCCAATGATGTTATATGCAAGCATGTGTATGAATGTAGGTATGTATTTCTAAATGTACAAAACAAACAACATATTAAAATAGTCAAACACATTAAGTCACAAAAAAAAATTTTCAACAACACCAAACAATCATATTCATATTTTCCATGAAACAATCCCAAGGCCACTCGATCTCATTCTCCCTGATCTTCGGCCTTGAAATGACCCAATAGCTCGTAACCATCACTTCACTATCATCCTTATTCTTTGGCACCGTCACCGTACTCTCATTATCCACTACCGCCATGGTTTTCTCTACCGCTATGTTCATAGCCCTACGCCACTAATGCACCCACCACATCACCACCACTTCATCAAATAGTATTACAACCACTGCCACCGCAGTCAACGATGGCGACACACACAGGTTACAAATCTAGTTATCGATCAAGCCTCTTAACACAGCCTTCATGCTAGAGTTTTAAGAGAGAAGGAAGGCCGAGAGGATGAAGAGAGAAAGGTGAAAAAGCGTCTCATCAAACTATCTTACAACCACCCTTGCCACGGTCAACGGCAACAACATATACCAGTTATAAATTCAGCAGTCGATCAAGCCCCTCAACATAGCCCTCACGCTAGGGTTTTGAGAAAAAGAGAGAGAGGATAGAGAATATGAAGAAAAATATGTCTTATCAAACAGCTTTACAATTGTTAGAGACTCAACACTACTCCCAGCTGCAATCATAAAAGCTCCGTCCAAGTCTACTAAGTTGTGATGGCGAGTTAGGGTTTATAACTCAAATCTGACTAGATCTTAAAGGATAGTAGTTGAGTGTTGAGAAAGACGGTGGTGGTGCTGTTAATGACGGTGGTATTGGGACGGTGATGGAGGTGTCGGAGATGACAATGGTGGTGGTATCAAAGATGGTGGTTGTGGTGTTAGAGATGAAAGAATAGAAAGAGAAAAAGAGAAAGAAGAAGAATATTGCCAATTTTGCACCATACGACATATTTATATAGATGGGTAGTTTGGTCATTTTGTAGGAAACTTGTCCTTATGGACATAATAATTTCGCGCCCAAATTTTTGGACAAAAAAATTTTTGGATTTTGACTGTTGGACAAAATGCCCATTTTGATACTCCATCGTAGATTCAGGCCAAGTCCTCTTAATCTAGTCCGAATGAGGAAAAAAGCCCAAGAAAAGTATGTTGAGCCCATAAGAAAAATCAACTTAATAAAACCTAGACTTAGGTGCATGAAGATATCTTTCTAGAAGAAGAATCACTTAAATAAAGAGAATCATTGATCAAGCCTTGATCAACAGATAAAAGCACATGTTTGGAAGCACAAGAGAATAGGTTGGGTCTAATTAAAAAGGAAGTCGTTCGATTAACTCCATCACACGGCTATAGCAAATAACAAGTTGGCCAATAACACCTGGCATAATCCTAGTCGTCTAGTAAGGTTGGATCCAACTATCAAGGATAAAGGCAAGTTGGCAATTGACTCAACTAGTATCTAACAAAAGTATAACCTTCTGATCAACAGATGAATGGATGAACAAGATTTAAACCAAATAACTATAAAATGATAAGCAGCTAAAGCACAAAAGATAGATGAAGGTAATTCAAGAAATCCATTCAATACATTTAATACATATTTCTCATAATGGCTGATCAGCATACTGACTTGATCGTCGGAGGGTTCTCAAGACCAATCCTGATCGAGGGTGATCACTGACACTTGGTTTATCTTTGCAGAGATCAAAGAAGGGACACGTTATCTCATTTTCTCTATGGAGATAATTTTACCTTCTATAATACTTTTATAATGATTAATTTATTTCTCCTCTATAATGGGGTTTTGATGGGATTGATGTATGGTTTGTTAAATGATATAATATTTATCATAATATAATTATTCTCTTATCTATTGATAAAAAAAAAATCTATGGTCGATTAAATAATGTAAATATTTCTTATAATATAATTACTCTCTTATCTATTGAAATACAAGAAAAAAAACTATGGTCTGTTAAATAATGTAAATATTTCTCATAATATAATTACTCTCTGAACTATTGACCAAAAAAACAAAAAAACTCACACACAAAAAGGCATCAGCAGCTAATGGAAATTGGTAACCTTTGTTTTTTATTTTGGGAGAATTTTTAAAGAGGAAATTAGTAAAACATCCATCTCCAACTTTTAATAGTAAGAAATGTTCAATATGTTTTTTTTTTTTAATTATTAGTTAAGATCTCTCAATAATATTAGAGAAATTTAAAAAATTTCTCTGTGACAAACTGAAATTTCTCTGTGAAAATGTTGAGGAACCCTAACTACTTTGAAAATATTGCATGTCATTTATCTTATAAAATTTTAATATCAAGAAACTTAAACTAAAATCTCATTTTTAAAAATTGAAAAGTAAAAATAATAATTTTAATTGATGAAGGTATAAGATTTATTTGCGTAATCTAATACATAAATCACTTATACGTCCATCATTTTGAAATTATTTTTGTACTCTTCACTTTTTTGATATTTTTTCTTTTATTTTTAGGGTTACTTTTACACTTTTCATTCCTATATTTGTTTTGAGGAGGCGCTGTGGTTGGCTGACAAAACAAATCTGTAGGCAATCATCATTGAGCCTAGTCGCACGCCTAATCACCTACATACGTAAATAATACAGTGAGCTGGAGCCTAGTGAATAATAACAAAGTAAAAGTTTTAATGAATGATGTCCATAATAGATTTAGAAATCAGAATTCAGATCAGAAACATATTTATAGTCATATTTAGAATTTAGAATTCACAGACAATCATATGTGGTACATCTTTTAGCACTAACAAAGCAGATAACCCATAAAGGGACCAGATAACCCATGACATATATAGAGCAGATAATGGTTATCTTTAACCAATTCCATATTGGAACCTCTAGTACCAGGTAACATATAATAAATATCACATGATGTTAAGGATTCCACAAATATATTTCATAAATCTGAACCATCATCATCCATACAGAAAAATAGCATTTTAGAAGACAAAGCATTTCATATCATCAGAAAATAAGTAAAGTCAAACATAGCTTTACAGAGTTATTACTCACAGATAGCTCCAGTAGTAGAACAAACAGAACAGATAAATCAGACGAATTACGGTATGTGACCTACACAAACACATAACGGATGCATATTGAAACACGTTCTCGGAAAATAGTTAACTTACTTATTTTCTATCTTGGTGTGTTTCTAATCTTTATCCTCATTATTATGTCTTAATTATAGCTTAGGAATGCTTAAGATGTGTTAGACTTATTCATTTTGATGATTTATCTAATTATGTTTTAATTTATTTGAAAAAGAAAAATAGAATCCAAAATTTATTTTGATGATTTATTTAATTATATTTTAATTTATTTGAAAAATAAAAATAGAATCAAAATTTATTTTGATGATTTATTTGAAAGAGAAAAATAGAATCAAAATTTGTTTTGTCCCATTATTTCTCACCTAAACCTTTATCCTAAATGTTGTTAGAATGTATTTAATATTTAATTAAATCACAAGTTCAAACAGCCCAAAATAAAAGGTTCAAACAGCTCAGCACAGCAGCAGGCCAAAAGATTCAAAAGGTTCAAGTGGAAGATATTCAAATTAGTAATGATGGAGTACAACGGCTATAAATGGCTAAAAATTTAAATGAATACAACAGCTATAAGTTTCATTATATATACCTAAGCCTCTAATGTAAACAAGTTACAAAAAAATTCAGAAAATATTCTTTGATCTATAATCACTCACATCTATTCTCTAAAAAATTCTCTGAGAAGTGTTCTTCAATTTTTGTTTACATCCTCTCTTAGAAATTATACACTGAGCCTTATAGCATTAAGTTCATCTTTCCTGTGTGAGGTTTACAGAAAAACCATAGCTTCATTTTTATATCTATCTTTAAAAGATAATTATTGTAGCTTTTTGTGAAAGCAAAAACACCTTCTTTTTAACCCTGTAAAAGTGTGGTACACTCAGTGTTCTTGACTTAGAAAGTTTGTATAAAACCTGTGGAGGATTGCTCCATCTGTGAAAAGGTTGCTAGCACCCTGTGAAGCTAGAAGATAGTGGAAAATCTCAAGTAAAGCTTGAGGA